CAGATTAGAAACATTTGTTGAGTTTTGGTTATTGAAATGGAGTTCTACACTGAAAATAGGAAAATTGACTGATGTTTAAAAAGCTATTAGGCAAACAATAAACGCATGAATTTTTAACTACAGTTCAATAGCTATTGTAGTTATTCATATGAACACTTTCAGGGAGCAGCTTATCGGATATTCGAAGATTATGCCGGCGAGCAATTAGCTGTACAGAATGTGCTAATTTACATCCGGCATGTGCTTGGTGTTTAGATCCGGTAAAGAAATTCTTTTAATCTATTAATATGTACAGATTATCATTGGGGGTTTTTTGTTATTTTTATTTTTCAACTTATAAAGCTTATTAGTTTGTAACAAACAGTATTTTTTTGTTGATTAATAATAAGCAAATGCCGACTGTTGTTTTGTTTTAAACTGTTCTACTGCTGTAAAAACATACTGTAGACATACCAAGTGAAATCGTTAATGTCAAAAAGGTCAGAAAAAGAAAAGCGAGAAAGGAAATATTTTAAGCCAATATTTTTTGGTTAAAAATATGTCAGTAATACAGCAAATTAAATTGTCATGGTTTGTTTACAGAATATGGCAACGCATTATCATTGCGACGTGGAATCAGAATTGCTAAAAAAATATCGACCAAGCCTAGTTTATAGACCACAAAATAGAGTCGTCTATTTGGTGGTAAGTTTTCTGTTTTTGTATCCTATCGTAATCGTAGTTTTTCTTTTTTCTGCTACTTTTACTACTGTTCATTTACAGTATAGAAAACTGGCTGAAAGTAGTTTAGTTGTGGAGAGAAGAGATGGGTGAAGAAAAAATTAGAGAAGCAAAAAAACATTTTTTTTATTTATTGTCAGCATTAATGCGAAAAAATAAATGTCATATCAGTTTTGCTTCTCATAAATCACTCGTAAGATATCGTTGAAAAATGATAGTGGTGATGATGATGACGAGGAGTAGAAGGAAAAGGAGAATAAGAAGGAGAATGAAAAGAGAAAGGATGAGAAGAAGAAGAGGAGAAAAAAAGGAAAAAATTACTTTTAAAGATCCAAAAGTAGCACTGTACTATTATTACAGTTATTGGTGTGAAAACGTTATCCTACTGTTCTATTTTTTTCTTTTTTTCATTTTTATTGAAACAGAATTGAAAAGCATAGAAGAAACTTATACCGTTGTTTTTGTTTTATTCTGTACAAAATTTCAAGCTGTTTTTTCTCTACGTTTTGCTATTAAATTGAAAAGTTAGAAAAACTTTTTTATTACGTTACCTTTCATCTGCTTTGTTGATCGTGGTTTTTTTTTTTACTTTAACAGATTTCCTTCTAATATAGTTTAGTATTTGTTTTTCTATTTGCTCGTAAGTCGTCAATTATCACACTTCTTTTTTTTTTCTTTTGCAGATTCTATACAGATTGTTCTCAGTGATTTTTTTAGTTGGTTTCGTTAATTGGCCATAAAACAGTATGATTTATGAGACATATTTACTTTTGCACATTATTATCATAGAGAAATCATGGTTTTTTTTTGGCTGCTAATAATTTTTTTTTTTGCTGCTGTTGCTGCTGCTTTTACTGCTTCTACAAGTACTGTGGCTTTCTATTACTCATTCTGACAGTTTTTTGGAAGGTTGTTTTTTTAAATACTAAAAAGGTACTGCTGATCAGTTGTCATTTAAAGTTGTCATTTTTTGTAAAGAGCAAAAAAAAAA